AGACTCACTAATAATGGGTGCAATGGATAAGTCTGACGGCGACGGACAGATACTGGAGGCCCGGTTCGATGCGTTCAAGTTTCCCACATCAGATGTGGTCCAGTTTAAGGCACTGGTAGCCCCGTGTTTGCCCTCATGCGAGCCCATCAAGTGTAATGTGAACGGAGCGGACGGTCGCACGAGTGAAGTCCACTCTTATGGCAAACGGAGGCGAAGGAAGAGAGAGGCCGACGAAGTGCTGGTCGTCCAGTCGCTGGCCGTCAGCGATAAGTTCGGGTTTCAGAGAAGTCAACGCAAGAATGATGGCAATGAAGACAACGTCTCCTTCATGAACGCATCCAAAGGTTTGCCAACACTTCTCGCATGAATTGTATTGAAATTAATTTCCTTTGCTTTTGTTATTCAGATGAGAAAGTAGTGGAAATGAACTCGTGCAAGAATATGTTCGGGATCAGTTTGATTGTGTTGACGTTCATATTGGCCCAAACCATACTCATCATAACATTTGCCTGTCTGTGGTCCGCCCGACGCCGAGACCGGGCCCTCCAGAGCCGAGAGTGGCCTCANAACTCGTGCAAGAATATGTTCGGGATCAGTTTGATTGTGTTGACGTTCATATTGGCCCAAACCATACTCATCATAACATTTGCCTGTCTGTGGTCCGCCCGACGCCGAGACCGGGCCCTCCAGAGCCGAGAGTGGCCTCAATCGCAGCTCATCGCCAACGAGAACTCCTATCCCAGTGTTTGCAATGAGTTTATGTATCCCACGAGAAAGCATTACTAAGCGATGGCTACGAAATCATAGACTAATAATAAATATATAATAAATCGATTCATAAGTCATCACATTTTTCTGAACAATATTCTGGCGATTATTAAGTAACGGATTCTTCAATACAAAAAACCAAATGAAAATTAAAGGGTCGGGAAATGCATACAAAATGGCATTTTATATCACTCTTATGGGTATTATATAAGAGCAAAATAAATAACATTTTTGTGATCTTTTAGGTTAAGACAAACCAAATATTTTACATCTTTTTATATCTCATTCGCTCATTATTTATTTTATTTATTTAAGTATTTATTTATTAAGTATTATTTATTTATTGAACAAAAAATGCGTGAATTTCGGCAGCTATTGACTGAAGTGATCATTAATTTCATTATTTATTTATTTCATTAATTAATTTATTTTATTTATTAAAACATTTTATACTAAAGTATTAAAATTTCGGGCAAAATATAAGTATTTACTGTTTAATATACAAATTCTGATAAATTATATTTAATTAGAGAGTTTATAATAATATTCAGTACAACTTTATATTTTGTTATTTTTTATTTATTCAAAAAAAACATTTGTATATAATATTCCACTTTAATGAATAAAATTTTAACAATTAATTTGTGTGTTTATTTATAATTTATAACTATACAATAGTAACTACTGAGTAGTTGCATAAGTATTATATCTATGCTTTTTATCATCAATTGTTCAATTTTAACATAAGTTTTCGCACCAATAATTAACTCTCAATGATGCAAACCTCCAGATTCCGGACAATATGGCCATAAATTTCAAGCGAAAACGTTTTCTAATACAAGTCATATGTTTTGTAATTAATTTTTTTAAAAGATTTAAAATAATTGAGTAATTTGTTTAAAAATTATCATTCATTTTAAGAATCGATAAGAATTGTAAGCATAAAACAATTTAAGACATATTTGTGTTTAATTTCTATACGAATAACATTTTCTAGTTTATAACAACTCTCATAAATAATACCTTTCCTATGCTATCTATTAGACTATTCAATAAATATTTGAATAAAGCACTAAAGAACCAGGAACAGTCGCCTGTAGAGACACATTCTACAGTATATGTACAGTAATTAAATCCATTTTTAAATAGTTTTAATAAAGCAAATTAAAATTAAGAAATACTCAAATCATTAGAAACCATCCATTGTCATTATCTAGTTACTTTAATTTTATATGCTATTACAAAAAAGTAAACCCTGTTAATATCGGTAAAATCATCGAGTCAAAATCAAATATTTTAAATTAAATCCCGATCTATAAAAGCGTATACAGTATGTGGTGACACCTCTATGCATGCAATCATAAGAATTACCTTCTCAAAGTTATTTGTGAATAAGGCTTTAACAAAAGTTTCAAAACTTTTTAACTTGGTAAACTGATTATAACTATTTTATATAATAAAATTGTTAAATTCACGAGATATTAGTCGTAATTGAGTAAACTATTTGAATTACACATAGAATTTATACAATACTTAAGAATGGGTTATGAATGGCTGATAATCGGAGGAATAGTTATTCTCATAATATTTGTGATTGTGGTAAACCAATGTTACCAAATTAATCTTAATATGACATTATATTTTATAATCTTATATCATGACCAAGATAGGAGTAATCGTGTATTTGTGGCAAAAACAAAGTCAACAACAGATTAAACACAAGAAAAAGCCGATGAATAAGGCGGCGGTGTTGGAGACCGTGAAAGTGGTGAAACACAGTGAACCAATCACTGGTGATAATCAATCAAATCTTAAGAATATAACACAAGACAATGAGAATAAGACCAAAGAAACCAATGAGACGACTGAGTTGTCCACCAATGGAGACATTGAGGACGACTTCAATCGGATTAAAGTGAGTGAATGGGACGCCACTAAAGAGACGGTGTCCACCATATCGTGCACCGGATCTCATGAGAAAGTGCCTCAAAAGCCACTATCTGTGGGAAGGAGTCGTATGAATGACAGAGAGATTACAGACAAGAATTTCCACTCCGAAGAAGACTTTAAAGACGTTTCAAATGACGACAAACCAAATGCTTCGGACGTCAAGAAAGACGATTCATATGAAGACAAACCTCAAGACAAGAATCCTTTGGCGGACATTGAAGACGAAGAGTTTACTCTAACTATAAGTTAATTCTTTCAAATAATTTATATTTATTTATATTTATAGAGAAATAATTACTTAATTATAATTCATTATTATCTGTGATTTATTTATCAAAATCCTTTAAACTATTCATTTGTATATGTTTTACAAATTTAAATAAAACCATTCATTTTAACTCTTTATACTTTCATTTAAGTAATTATTAATGTTTATAATTATTCATAAATTGTATTATTGTTTGCTTTTGTTATTAATTATATTTTCATAACTGATAGAGAAGTACGAGTTTACAAGTTTTTAAAACCACTTTTCAATCACTACTTAATGTAAATGAGTTTGTAATGTATTCAATGTTTTTATTTATATTTAAATGGGAGTATTTCATGATAATTATTACAATTTTTAGATTTCGACAAAAATATAATAATTTTATTTATTTAATGCAAAGCTTGTAAATAATTAGATATACAGTAATAGTGAATAACAAATAAACAGTAATAAATTAAAAATGAGTTTTTGTTTGAATTCGTATACCCTTTGAAACTCGTATTGTCTCTGAATATTGAGATCTTGTGTCAAACTTTACAAATTCAAACAAAATCTTCCCATACTTTCTCTGAACATTGATTTATGAATATTTAACTCTTCATACAATAGAAATGCATATAATTTATGAATATTTTGAGCTTTGGGTTGGAATGGGTTTTGCATTATTGGCTCTTATTTTGCTTGTTTTCAGTGAAAATAGTTTGAGTCATACTTTCAATTATTTTCTACAGAATCTGAATTTATAATTAAATAAATAAAATATAAATAGGAAGTGAACTGATTTGATTGTTTACATGATTAGCTGCCTATGAAACATGTTTTATGAATGAGAATGCAATCAATAAATAACTTTATGAATGAAATGATTAACAGAATTGAATTGCAATAAAACCTTTTGTTGAACTCATAGACAGACCCACAAAAGTGCCATTTGTTTGGCACTAACCCTATGATTTAGATTTAAACTGCAATTTTACAAATCATGAGTTTGTTTGTTAGCCTAACAAACAGTTTGAATGACTTTTCGTTTGAATGTTATGAAATATTAGATGAATTAAAATTTTTATAATTAAAAAATTCCTAAACATTAAAACAAATCTTTTGAAGTTTTAACAAAAGAGCATATGTTCTTGAGCACACTCTCCAAACGCGACATCAACAGCCAACCGCACTCGACACTAACACCGGTGAGCACTGGTCACCTGTCAGCCCAGAGAGCAAACAACCTCGTCCAAAGGCAGGCGAATGTAATTATGAGTATAGTTTGGGCCAAAATGAATGACAACATAATAAGACTGATTCCCAACATATTTCTACACGAATCTATTTCCACGACTCTCTCCACTAAAGCACACATTTGGACAAAACAAATAGCATTCAATGCGTTTGTTTAATACGTTTTTATAGTACTATTCATACCTTTGGATGAGTTATGAGAGAAGTCGTAGTCATCATTAATATCCAATTTTCGTTGACTCCTCTGAAACCCAAACTTTTCGCTAACACTTAGTGACTGAACGACAAGCACTTCGTTTGTATCCCTTTTCCGTCTGCCATATGAGTGCACTTCACTCGTGCGACCGTCGGGTCCGCTCACATCACACTTAATGGGCTCACAAGTGGACAGACATGGGGTGACCAGTGCTTTGAACTGAACCACGTCTGAAGTGGGAAACTTGAACGCATCGAACTTGGCCTCCAATACCTGTCCACTTCCGTCAACTTTATTCATTGCACCCATAATGAGGGCATCGGTAGGACAAAACTTCAAAATTGTTTTCTCGTATACAAGAACTCGTGTGAGAGGTTTGCGCTGTAGTTGTCGGTTGGCGTGAGCTGTGATTGTGGCCACTCGTGACCAGTGGACAGTCGGGTCTCTCGTTTGTTGGCCGTCCAAAGGCAGGCGAATGTGATTATGAGTATAGTTTGGGCCAAAATGAATGATAACATAATAAGACTGATTCCCAGCATATTTCTACACGAATCGATTTCCACGACTCTCTCCACTAAACCACACATTTGGACAAAACAAATAGCATTCAATGCGTTTGTTTAATACGTTTTTATAGTACTATTCATACCTTTGGATGAGTTATGAGAGGAATCGTAGTCATCATTGATATCCAATTTTCGTTGACTCCTCTGAAACCCAAACTTTTCACTAACACTCAGTGACTGAACGACAAGCACTTCGTTTGTATCCCTTTTCCGTCTGCCATATGAGTGCACTTCACTCGTGCGGCCGTCGGGTCCGCTCACATCACACTTAATGGGCTCACAAGTGGACAGACATGGAGTGACCAGTGCTTTGAACTGAACCACGTCTGAAGTGGGAAACTTGAACGCATCGAACTTGGCCTCCAATACCTGTCCACTTCCGTCAACTTTATTCATTGCACCCATAATGAGGGCATCGGTAGGACAGCCCAGGCTGTCGATTAGCACAATCTCTGACATATCTGCCCCATCGATGGCTATTAATTCTCTCACAAATATCTCGTACGGACCTAAACACACGAATTGATAGCAAATGAATGATTCGTGAAATTTAAATAAATTTTGCATTTATTTGAAAAATAACTGTATTTTTTGCGAATTGTACAATCTTTGCAAATGTCAAACTGTTTTTCATGAATGAATTATTAGTCGTATGTTTCAGACTTAAAATAACTTATAAATTCAAGACTCACTCGACTTTTCCAGTATTGAAAACCTAAGGAGAAGTGGATCTCCGACTTGTGCCGAAGAGATATCACTTCTGAATAGATCTGTGATTTTCATCGTTACGTTCGGCGAACTCACTGTTTCTGAATGACTTCCCGTTGTGTCGACGTCTCTGTCCAATACAAACACACAAAACCAAAAATTATACGATTGTATCAAATAAATTATTTATATAAATATATATCTTTAATAGGAATTGAATGCTAATTCAAAAACAGTTAACGTATTTCAGACCAAAATGTTTGTATTTTATGAAGTTTTTGTTTTTGTTTTTAATATTCTGTGACTTATGTTGAAAAGACAAAAACAAATTTAAAACAGATTTACCAAAAGTTATGTAAATTTTGATCCTTACAGATTTGAAAGACTTTATTGAGATTTTCAAAACAAAAGTTTCTCTGTGTCTGTGTTATCATTATTTGTTGTGAATTATAATGAGATCCAAAGTCTTTAAACTTTTTATAAACAAAAATAAATCAAAATTCTGTATTAGAAAACATGTATTGAATATAAATTAGGCAAAAGTTATATATGTGTTATGTTGTTATGTATGATAAAAGCAATTTGAGTAACCTTTTAGTCCTATTGTATAATATGCTTATAATTGGGACTTAGAGTCAAAACTTCATTTAAATACAAGATATTAACAAAAAAGAAGTTTCAAAACGACTTAAAGGGTATGAATAATGAGATATCCATCTATGATTTCAGACAAAGTATTAGAGCAATGGATAAGTGGAGCCAATGGGTCTGTTCACTAAAAATACAATAAATGAGATGCATATTCATTGCAAACACACTATTGGTATAGTTATTCAATTACACGCAAACTTTAAGGCGGCGACCCTTTGAGTGAAACATACCTTTTATTCAAATTCATAAAAACCTTTTTTATTGTTATTCAATGAAAACCTTATTTAAGTCACATTTTTGCCCAATTTTGCAAACCTTTTCTCTATTCTAACAAAACTATATTCTTTGAAATTATATATTAAGTCGATATGAAATGTTTAAAGAAAAAACAAGTTTTCTCTCACCCGTCGACCGCGAGATTCACATTATTTGAGATACTTTTGTTTGAGAGATCGTATTTGCAGTGAATGTTGAGCAGTAAGTCTGCAGTCGTAACCACCATATCGTGATGTTGTATAACAATATCATTAGTGAACTGTCCTTTGCTCTGCTGTTTAACATCACACTCAACGTCGTTATACTTCATCTTAATCTCAAACTCCAGACTATTGCTGATGTCATTAACACAGA